AGAGACACGATATACAGAAGTAGTGCGAGATATAGAAATCATGGAAAAAAGAAAATAAGAAATGACAAACGTGACAGCAATAGAGAAAAATATATATATATATATATAATATATTCGAGCTGATACGACATCGTGATGCATTTTGTGTATACATACACGCGTACACGGACACGTGGGACGGGCCCCGGTGCCTCGAGACTGGGGGGGGGGGCCCGCCATTTTTTGTCGGCTCGATCGAGAATCGATAACCACCGACACGCGATATATCGCTCGCTCGCGTGTTTACGTTCACCTGCGTACGTGTTACAACCGCGGGAACTACCGTCGATCGATGCTTCTCGATGATCGCGAGCTTTCCTCCCCGCGACCAACATTGATTTAGGAACCACTCGGCCGGAGTACTCTCGCCGTTTCGTTCGTTTTCGCTTTCCAACGCGCGGTTATTCTTTCCGTTTCCGCTATTGCACTTTTCGGAATTGATAACCTTGGGCAAACGCCTCGAAATTGCGGACAGAATATGGGAAAAGCGTCGTTCGACTTGCACGAAAATTTTTATACAAGGGCTTCGAGGGACGATGGTTACAAATCAAATATCCATTGGTCGTCATTTTAAAAGGGGTGAACAGATCTGGTCTGGGTTATATTCACTATCTGTATACATAGGAAAAAGTTAAGAGACATCTACGATAAAAAAATGTTGATTCAATTAATGACGATGAAAATACTTGAGTCGGTCGGATCAGACGGTCCACTCTATACATATAGTTCGTTGAAGACTATAGGAAATATTTCAAGTATGTAGGTTTCGAGGAAGACGTAAGGAGCGTTTAGCGATTCGAGGTATTTTCCTAGCAATTGCACGTACACAGGTATGACAGGCGTAACTGACGACGGAAAGTCCCGCTTAAACGACACGCGTCCGTCGCGTGTACACGTATACACGTATGTATGTACATTTTGACGTACGTATGTGTACGCAGAGTAAATATAGCGATAGATATAGATATATATATATAGAACAGTCAATAACCAGTCACAAAGTACCTTTTAGTCGAGTTAGCGAGCTTCTCTCTACGCTCGGGCTCAGACTGAAACAGAGATCATCACGCGTCATTTTCACGCGAACATTCAGGGTTGGCAAGGCTGCACGCGGCCATCGATCATCGATCCCGTGGATCGCTCTAAACCTCCCACTCTCGATCGCGGTCACGGATCCTCCCGATCCCGATCCCCGCTTCCGGTCTCCGGCGCGTCCGTTTCGATCAGGGTTGAAATTTCCCGAAACGAACGCAAGCTTTACGATCGACCTCGATCCAGGGTCAACGTAGCATCCGCGAGTATGGTAATATTTGCTTCGAACGCGAAGGATTCTCATCCTTCGAGGACGGATATATTTCTTGGACGTCCTTCGGTTTCGTCTCGCTCGTCGAAAAATCGCCTCGAGCCCCACTAACCTACTTTCGGCCGTGCGATTGCTAATTTAGAAGTACGTTCGCGTCGAACTGGACACTCGGTTTCATCGACCATTATTTCCCGTCAACCGTACGTGTCGACTATCGCGGTTATGGACTGTCCATACGTACAAAGACGTTTCTTCGTTCGACTGCAATTTAATCCGCTGCACGGTGCTCCGGGGAAGAATCCCTAACTAGTCTAAGACAATTTTAAAAGATTTTTGCAACTTTAAACGAGAATCAAGATAGCATTTAACAATTTCCGTCGCGTAATTTCCAAGTAAAAGTCCGATTAATTTTTAGCGCGCTGATAAATCGTCGAAAGTTTCTTAACAAAATGTTCCCCCGAAGTATCTGCATCGCGATTTGCGGAAAGTGGGTTAGCGAGCTGTGGACGCGAAATCAGGACGACGCTCGAGACGATCGATGATCTCTCCTCGCTCGATTCGCAGCCCCTAGCGCACACCTCGTCGGCTCGATCGTTCCCGGGGATCGGGATCCAGGAGATCCCCGCGTCTCGGTGATCGATTTTACTTACATGATGCCTGGCTGAGCTCAGTTTGGGTCTATCGCACACTGGACATTCGAGGCGCCAAATCGCCCGCCGATGCACTAGAACTCGGTGCACTTTGCGACCAGGATGCACATTAAAAACGCATAATCGCCGCGAGATAAACACGCACATGCTCTGCTTATCGATTACAACCCCTTACCGCAAGCTACAATCTAGTTAGCATTTATCTTGGTTAGTAATTTAATCAATTTTGCAAGACTCTGCGAAGATATTTAAAAAACAGTATAGTTTATGTAGTAATTGAGATTTGATGTATTGTGAAAATAGTTTTAACGTTGCAGAGCTGCAGAGCTCTGTATACTTTGAGAAATGCTGGTGTAAACCAATTGAGCAGTTCTGTTTTCCACTGTAAATTCACGCTGCATCGTGCGTTGATCAAAATATGTAGAACCAGAAACGACAGTGATAAACATTGCATCGCATTTACGATTCGCGGATAAATTATATTCGAAACGCAGCGAGTTCTCGACATTTACACTTTGGTTTTATCTGTGATCGACTCGACGACTCTCCGAACATGAACGGAGGACAATAAAAGCTTCGATGCTCTGTTGCAAACGTTAGTTTAATATCGAGCTCGAGGACTCACGCACCCCTGTTATTTTCTAGCTCCTCCGGCAGTAAGGGGTTAATTTTGAAATGTTGTCGTTTCTCTAAAAAACTTTCCAAAGATTGCGCTCCTCTGAAAAATCGTAAGCGTAAAAACGGAAATCGGTGCACCCTGTCGCGTCGACGCCGAGTTCTCGGAGGGACAAACGCAGAGCGTGAGTCGGTGATCGATGAAGGTAGCTGGTCGATCATCAATCGTCGGTGACCGGGGTGACGTTCGCCAGCGAGAACGCGAAAAAGACCCAAGAGGAAGAGGGTCGCGCGCGTTCGTTCGCGTTGTTAGATGGTTTGTTAGTGAACTCGTCAGGCAAAAGCGGACAAGGCTGAAGCGCACGATAGAGACGGGATCTGTCGTGAGTTCAGGGTCGATTCCTGCGCGCTTCTTCCGGGGGTCTCTTCTGGGGACTTGACCGGAAAAGAGAACAAAAAATAGGGGGCTTGGGTGGGGGGGGGCGAGAGGCGGGGGCGAGGGGCGGTGGGGCGTGGGCGTGAGCAAGGGGGGGGCGGGGAGCCGAAGGGAAGAAACTGCGAAGAGATCAGTCTCTCAGTGTTCGTGTTCGATGGGCTTCCTTCGGGTCTCTGATGCTAAGTCGGTGGTTTGCATTCCGGTATGCAGAGTACTTACAGTTCTCCCCATTATCAAACGCTACGTTAAGAAGAAACACGATTCCGCCAGTTTTCTTTTTTTCAATTCTCTTTTTCTTTTAACGGGGAACTCGTTAGATCTGTCGTCGGAGCAGCTTGGGTGCTTTGAGGCTGCTAACGAGAGCGTATCCGAGACGCGTGGGTGTGTTTCAGGGACAGAATCAAGATCATTTGGAAAAAGTATTTACAAACTGACCTTTGGCTTTGACTCGAGTCGCTTTAAATTGCATGTCAATTATTTTGAAACAAAGATCGTACCTTGAAAGGATGTATGATGAATTATTGGCTTGCTTTTGCGCGAATACAACCTCCGGCAGGAAAGTTATAGATCAGATAAACATAAAATTTACAGAAGAATTATCAAGTTTTTAAGTCATTAAATATTGTTATAGACAAATGGAACTGATAAAATACTAGCAGGGGGATAGTAGGGGTTGTATATGAACGCCATCTTGGATTTTCTCAGTGGAACGCCGATAATTCTACTCTGAAATTCGTAAAAGAATTAAAGTATACGATCTAAAAAGTCAAGGATCAGTAAGACACAATTAATATACAATTTCTATACGAAATGAGGGCATAATCTGATATTGAGTAAGATTGTACAGAGCGTTGAAGTATTTCACTCATACTCATTAAGAGATTCCATACTCTAGAGTCAATGGATAACATTTCGAGCACCGTTTGTTTTAGAAATTATTTTTAGAATACCTTAGTAATCGCTGACTTTGACCCCGTATACCATAACCTTTTCACCCAACCTTTTCACAGTTCAATTGTCTTCCGTATTCCAAAATAAAACGTCGACTGTTCCATTTAAAAAACGGTGACATTCATAATTTTGTGCAAAAGCAAGAATAAAAATAATTCACCCTCGATACAAGGCGACCTCTGTTCGAAACACTTATTTGTATGACAGTGATTTTTGAACAGTTAGATAAATTCGATTCCTGTTCCTCTTTATATAAAGTTTCAAGCTTTCGTTGTAATTCAAAACATAATGTAACTCTCAACAAAAATTGCCCTCAAGATCAAACAGGACCATATTTACAAGCACTCTTTTCATCGTGTTCCTGTTCTGTGCATACCTGAAAAGACTTTTACCACGCGTCGGGATACTAACTCGTCGATGCAGGCTGCCAACTTTTCGCCGACAGAGGATCTCGTAGCTCTTCGCGAGAGATTTGGAAAATCTCCTAATCGGTTCTTGATTGATTATTCGAATTAAATTCTAGATAAATATGACCAAATTCCTGCTTGCAATGCTTCGAAATTTAAGTTACTGAGATCTAATCGCTGCATAGATTTTAGTCTCTCTGCTATTATAGTTAATACAATTTTTTGATCACTCGAAATTTTGAATCAAAATTTCTTAATTGAGAATAGACAACGATAAAAAAGAGCAGTTTTATTAGAGTAGTATTAATATATCATTAATCCTCGTTATAGAATGGAAAGAAACTTTCTCGATAAATGTGAACTAGGATAACAATTTCAATGTTTAACAAGCTTTAAATGTGTTATAAGCTTTGTTGAGGCCTGGATTGGTGTTCCGGCGATTCTTTCCGACCGGTGAAATGGCGGAAGAGCCACGAGATCCCCTTTGCGAAGGCTCGAAACCGGAAGTAGCCCGGAGCAGCCTCCTCAAGATCGCGAAACGTTATCGCGAGCTTAGGATAGATTCCGAGATAAGATCGCTGGTTGTCGTCGGCACATACCCGTTTGCGAATGCGGAGAGTCCATTCCACGATGGCCGTCCTCGGGCCTGAGGACCGGCGAGAAGGTTGGCGCGCTCGAAACGGAAACGGTCGGGGGCTTTTCAGTCTTGTCGTTCCTTATGAGCTGGTGCACCGGCGGCGGGCCTGCGAATACAAAATCGCAAAGCTTAACCTCTGCTTCGTAAACCGAAGCAAACATTTATGGAAAACAATGTCCACTGCCAATGCATTACTGGACACAAAATAAATTCTTGCAATAGAAAACATACTTTTGCTCCTCTAAATGGTACCTTCGGTACTTCCGACAAACTGACCTAACTTTTTATCGATGATTCTTTCCTATACAAATTTCTAGAGGAGCAGTTAGCTTAGGTCTTCCATTGAAACCGTTCAAGAGCTTAAAATTGAAATTGTACTCGTTTCTCCAATTTAATTAGTACATTGGTAAATAATAAATAACCCGTGAGGTCGGGGAGCACTTGTTCCATTTATCGTTTAGGAAATAATAATCCGTGTTTCGCGGGCGAAAGAAAGGTTAAAAAGAAAAGATCAATCGAGCCGTAGGAGTTGTTGGTTGTCCTTGGCACAGAAGATACCCCCAAGGCGAGAGCCGTTAATCCCGGAAGGGGTCGCGAGCAGAAAATACCGGATGGAGGAAGAGCGTCTTGGTCAACGAATTTACATGCACGTAAAATGGTAGGAAGCGGCCGTTTCATGGCCATAAAATTAGTTTCGCTGATGGGATGGGGTGGATATTTACGCCAGTCGTTAATTTAACGACAATACAGTCAATCAAGCGGCCCACCTCCGTCGCCGCTATAAAGGCAACGTATGTATGATAAAAAGGGAGCACGGAGAATGCGGTTGGCCCTGGTCCAGGTATGCTTATTGCCGGAATTTTTCTCCGTGTATATTTTGCTTGAGAAAGTGGTCATTTTATTCTGTCCGTAAATTCCGTCTATCCGGCGGCGTTCGCGGCCCCTCCTACGGCTAGCATAAACTCGAAACTTTCGGTCGGTGGTCCGATAGACGTCAAGACTTCTCGAGACTCCTCTGTGCTCGTCTTCTAGCTTCCGGTTAAATATTTCCCTTTGCAATCTCGCTGACAATCCGGAGGAATAAAGTATCTTTCGTACCCTACACGCTAATGGGGGTCTCTTATCGCCATATAATAATAAACCAAGTTCCGAATAACTTGACAATTTTCGATAATTACATGTACGTTCTGCTATACTAATATTGAAGCAGAAAAAATTTTTTGAAAAGACTGACTTTTTTATCACCGCGAAATTAGCACGGAGAAACACTTGGCGCGATTGGTGAATTCCCTATTCTTTTCGATTCTTGGTTCTTTTTTTTCGAAAAAAGCCTCTACCCGGAAGTTATTCCTCTTTTTCATCTCCATCCAACGACTTCCGTTTGAGAGGGGAGGTGGAGGTTATCGTTTGATCGATGAAAGAGTTAAGAGGGTTGAAAGAGAGGGGGACCGGGGGAGGGGGTGTGATAAAGGGAGGCCGACGGAGAATAGAAAGAAAATAGAGAACGGAAAGGGAGAAATATAGGGAAAATGATCTATAGAACGCTGAGCAAAGTAGATCCCGATAACAAAGGACTCCCCGATAAGCCGCCGGATGAGATTGAACTCGGGGACAAAAAACGTCCAACCTCTGACCGCTGCAAATTTGTTACTTAAACCGCGCCGATAAGACCAATTCGATCCCGGCAGCCGCGAACCGTCCCACAGTGGTCCCAAATGCCGAAAAGTTGGCCAAAATATGAAGGAGTTCTTCAATTTAGCTAAAAATTTGTAGGTAGGGGTTATCGAGGTCGCGGATTACGAATCAAAAGTCATAATTTAAAAAAACAAAATGGCGGCTCCGATATAGCTCACACATATGTATGCGAAAGAAATGTCGGAATCACCTGAAATTTGATACATAGTTACTATCGAGGTTGCTGATTACGAATTAAAGGAAAAATGACAAATAAATAATCAATTGCATTTATTAAATGAAATGACTCCAAAACATCCTACGTCAATTATATACTGCTAAGTTTCAAGCAGAATCATCGGAATCATATTCATTATCAGATATGTCGCTTTCTGTGCTGGATTCTGTTATTAACATTGCCGGTTGAACTAATAAATTTAACGCCTTTTCACAGTGGTTCCAAATCCCGTAAAGTTGGCCAAAAGAGTATCGAATTTTATTACTGATAGTTTATACGTTTAATTACAAGGGTAAAAACACGTCGGATTTCAGAGGTATGTGTATTCACCAAAAATGATTATAATTGAGCCCCGCAACCAAAAATAATTTTTTCAGAATGATTTGAAATTTTTTAATTTAATTTTTTAATAACTTTTTAATGAAGCCTCAGTGAAGAAATTGATACTCTTGATTTTCGTCTTATTTTGGCCTCTAGAATCTCCGATTAAAATTTTTCCCAGGGGTGGCCGAATACCCTGTATAAGTAAAAAATCTAAATGAAAACGAAAGGCAATACCGCACAAATGTTTTATGTCTGTCATAAAGTAAGGCAGGTATAAGGCACAATTTACAGCTTACAGCAGTGCCTTCATATTATTTGATTCTTAGTGCTTTTACATGGCAAATGCGAAAAAATGTTTTAGTTTGGAATTCTCAAATTTTATTAACTATTTTCGAAATAAATAATTTTTCATGTAAATAGTTTAATGCAGATTTATAGTCAATAATGAAGTAGATCAACTGGTTCATTGAAAAATATACAATATTTAATAATGAAGAATTATTTATGCATTAATTTCAAAATTTATTAAATCTAATAATAAGTCCACCCAAAATTATACATTATTTATTTTAAAAAATTTGTTGTATCTGCCACAGTTTCCAAGAAAAAACTGCGTGATTTAGTAACGCGGTCACCCTCCATTATAAAATAGGGTGGTACGACGTAACTTGCAAAAACTTGCAGCTAATTCTTGCAAATTCTGCAAGGTGAAAGTATCACATACAAGCCTGAAAAAAAATGGCAGTGGGATCTTGAAGGATGAGCAACTTTTTGCCTACTTGTTTGCGATGCATGCATGAAATTTTACATTTTATTTTCAGTAATGAATGTACCGGTTTAAAAAATTAATGGATAACAATTTTTAATATGTTAGTACTCAGAAATGTTCTACTTACTTCCAGGAACAGCATCCATTTTGCAGAATTGAAATTGATGTCTTCTAAAAAAACTTATGCACTTTTCACTCTGTGGTACGAATTGACGCTTACGCTTTCGACAAACGACTGACTAACGAAGCCGAAGTTTGGATCGCAATTGCCATCCAGGTATAAAAATATGACTCATTTCATTTTCTCTACCCTAAAGAGACATCCTTAAACTGCCGATTCCAACAGGTAAAACCTCCATACCGAAAAATTATTTTTTGGGGTTTTGGCCACGATTTCACGATTTGGGACCACTGTGCGTCCGTTCGATAAATTATACAAACGCATTTTCGGGCATCGTGGCGCTAAACCCTGTCTTCTCTATATTTTTATCGAAACAAAAACGAGCATGCATTGAAAAATAACTGTAAGAAGAAACGAAGATCCTGTGACGAGATATTCTAGAAACGGTTGGTAGCACTCGAAACGACGACGCACGCTGTCGCTGAATGCGATTCCGCATAGTCTCGAGTGTCCTCGAACGGTTTAATTTTAGTGGGCGTGCAGAAAAACGATCAAAATACCGTAAAATCACGGTTTCGCAAACCGCAGCTGGTAAACAAGGTCTCTGCGCGACGAGTGGAGGGGAGGGGGAGACGAAGGGGTGAGAGTATCGGCGTCGCGGTGCATCGTATCGTGACGCATCGCCGCGCGACGGATTTTATCGCGATGCAACTGTCTGCAGGGCATCGAATCGCAACGCGGCAATATTCGACGCATTCGATCGTCGACGCGTTCGGTCGAAACGAAATCGGTTGATTCTAGGCGTTTTGAAATCACGACGCGCCGAATCTAAGCTTTTTCAAATCGCGGTGCGTCTATTGCGAGCATTCAAAACCACAACGCGTCATTTTTCTGATTCTGTCACCTAGGAAAAGTTGTATCTCCCTTCAAAAAAAATTCATCGTAAATCAACCAGAGATTCCTAATAAACGAACATTTGTTCCATACTGTTCGGTATACAATTCATAAATAAAGACACGCGTCGTAAGAGTTCTTGACTCCCAAAAGAAACACGATGCTTTTCGAACAGGATTAAGAAACAGAAAAGTTGGTGCGGTGTTAGGTGAAATCTTTTCAAAGGGAGTTTCGTGTGTTCCGTGGAAAAAGCCCCGGGGCGCGTCGCGACGCGTCGTTCGGCGGGTCGCGCGTCGTTGTCCCGGCAGCTGCGGAGGATTCGTCGCGCGGAACCGGGTGACAGCGTGCGTCCACTAAAAATAAGGGCGAACGTAAAGGTTTTGAAACTCACTGAAGCTAGCCGCTGGCTGAGCATGATCCGCGGCCGTGGCTGCGGACGGAGGGGTGTAGCTGCTGCAGTAGTACGGCGGGTGCTCTATTTTGATCGCGTTTATTTGAGGCTGCATGTCGCTGAGGTCATGCAGTATGGACGCTGAAACCAGACACACATTAGCGGTTACGGATCCTCGCGCGTTCGTACGTCATCCGCTCCTCCTCGTCGTCCTCTTCGTCGTCGTCGTCGTCTTAGTTTTCTTGCGCTCCCGATTCTCGCGAGGAAATCGCACTTCCGCGCGTTTTCCTTCGAGAAATCTCCCCCCTTCCCCTCCGCACCACGCTCTCTCTCTCTCTCTCTCTCTCTGCTGCTGCTGCTGCATTGCTCAGACCGCGGCGGAGGGGAACGGGGGCGGTTTTTTTCTCTTTTTTTTTTGTTTCTTGAGAGCGCATTTTGTTGCAACTTCCCACTCGGTGCATCGAGAACGTCGTACCAACGATTATAATGCGATTGCGCCTTTTTGAAACGGCTCCAAATATTTTACATTCTTCCTAAACTCCTTAACCGTTTCGAGGAAGGTAAAAGACCCGGTGCGTTTGGACCTTTGACGTGCTCGCTGTAGAACTGTCCGAGTATAGGAGTCAATATTTTGGTTATTATTTTTCGAATAATTAAAGGATAACGAGTTGTGAAGTGCAAGAAATATAGAACAGTGGGAACCAGCTCCCTTCCGTTTCTGATCAGTATTATAAAGTAATATAAACAACATTGTTAAGGCAGTGTCCAAGCACTGGGTCTTTTACCATACCATGAGATCGCCATTCCATATCGAAAAGTGCCGCCATATTGGCCTAATGAGTTTTGATTAAACAGTAATTATTTAAGCGTAACGTATGGACACAAATTAATTATGAACGCTAGTGGTACTGATTTGGTATTTTATTTTTGGCACTATTCGACACGATTGTTGAAATTACCCATGGCGCTAAAACGGTTAAGATTGTATCGATGCCGAAGATAAATGTTTTCCATAAATATCTTTCTACATCGATGTACCGAATGCGTCGTTCGAACGATTTCGTCGATCGTTTTCTCGATTTGTAAAAACATTGTTCGAATTTCCAAGCCTGCAGCGAAATTTCCATAGTTCCGCTAAATATTTCATTTTACAAAAATATAATATACTGTACTATCTAAGAATTAGATACGAAAGCCAATCTAATATCGACATTTGATCGATAGCGACGAAGGTTGGTAACGATCGAAAAACGCTAAAAATGTTTAATTTAATTATGGAAATTTCGCCGCGAGCATTGAACGAGCACCAAGGAACTTTCGAGGGGCGTAAAACGATCGAGAAACGAATCTGAAACACGATTCGGCCGTGTCCCAAGAAATCGAAAGTGACTCCAGCCTCGGGTGGAAACAACCGCGTGAACGCAGCGTTGTTTCATCGGGGGTAGCGGCGGTGGGGGGTTCGGTTAATTAATCGTCGCCCAGCCATTAGAATACGCTCCAGTTACACGTTCCGCTGAATCAGCGGCACCGTAAAATAATAGGATTCCAGTTTGTCGCAGTTCGCGACGCGTAAATATAGGGATCCCCGTGCACGACGGTCAACGACCAATTAGGTTGAGCTAGTGCCGTAGAATTTGCATCCCGTGTAAGCAACTCGCTCGTAAAGCTGCGTCCTCTCTGCTAGAGACACTCTGCGGATCGCGGTACTCCTCGACGGAGGGTTGTCCGCCGCCATCCGCCGCCATCCACCCCCCCATCCACCCCCATTCGCCCCCGCCCAGTCGCCGCGGAATATCTTCCGACTTCTTTGCCGCCCCGGTAATTTACGCGCCAACGGCGATTGTATTTCTCCCGAACCGGTCTAGTAACTTTATGCCAGAAACGGTGCTAGCGCCGCGGAGGAACTATTGCGTTTCCGTGCAGGCTGATTTAAATTCTGTCGCGGAAGAGGCCAGGGGAGGGATTGCACGGTAACGAACGATAAAGGGTTGATTCTACGAGTCTGAGAAATATTGCAAAAATGGGAAGCTAGCGGTGTCCTTCTCCTTTTTCCACCAAGATTTAGTGCTTCCCCTACCATCCTTAAAAATTTCTGACCTTATAAAGAGACTGGAAATATTCCCTGCTTCGAACGGGTGGACGTTTCGGGGACGATAGAGATGCATTGTTCGAACTTGTTTTGGACGTATTAGTTTCACCGTACGATCACCAATTTGAAAATCTTATTTACCGTTTTTACAAAACAGTCTCGTCGAGAATCGAACAACGAGTCCAATTTCGACGAGCAAAAATGGTGGTCCAAGTGGCCTTTACAGACGAATCGATGGAGAAGAAATAAGACGAGCATTGTCGAAGGATTGAATCGAGCGGGGCGGTTTTGTCTCGGGGCTCCTAACGAAGATCCTAATTACAGAATTAGTTCGAAAGCGGAGAGCGTGGAAAAGCGCGGATATTTATTCGGCTCGACGGGTTTCTAACCGGGTCCGGATGCTGACGTGGATTCATCGTGGTACAGGTGCGCCGTCGGCCGTTGGCGTTTCTTTCTTTTTCCACCCCCATCCTCCATAACGCGTCCTCCACTTTTCCCTTCCGCTCGAGCGAATCCACCCCACTCCCTCCTCGCAAATGGGTTTGATACGATTCGAGAATCGCAATTCCTTCCGTCGAAGGTTATGTTTCGAAACGATCGACGATTTGTTCCCTTTTTTCTTATCCGAGTGCAAGAAAAAATACGAACAGGACGGAAAGAACCTCGATTGGCCTGATTCTATTAACCCCTTGAGCGCCCAATTCGTTACGGTTCAGGTTCAGCCATATTCAATTTGGAAAATTTTGTGCAATTATGTGAAAAGAGGAAGAAAGTTATCGATCGATAAATGTGTAGTTTCTCAAGGCTCGGAGGGTTGATACAATTTTAGAGGTTTGAACTAAAGGGTTAATATGGATCTGGTGCAAAAAGAATTGTCTATAGAGTGCCTTTCTTTTTATAGAAACGCAGAGAGTATAGTCTCGAATTTTCGGTCACTTATTAAGAAACACCCTCCCGTGCAGTTTCATGCCTACACGCAGGGATGGCGATTCGTCAGCACATTTTACTACGACGTTAACCCCTCAACTGTGCGAGACAAGTTAATTCATCTTGCGGGGAATAACGTTCCTGCCCGAACGATATTCCTCTGCTGAAACAACGCTTCTGTCAAAGAATTCTCCCCATACGGTAGGACGTCCATTTTTCGGACGATCGATCCAGGAAAAGTTGCAGCAAAATAGTTTTTTAATGGGTAATAAATAATTCCCTGACTTAATAGGTTCCATATTTTTTGTAAAATGAAAAACCGCTTTTGCGATATACTTTTCTGTATTGTCTGACCTAAAATTGGTAGTTTATTTTACACTCTTCCACCAATGACGAGTAGTTTGATGCAACTATTCCAAGAATTCTTGGTTGTTGCAAAACTCGTGACTCCGTTGAAAAAGAATTATTCTACTGATTTTAAAAACTCAGGAAAAGCAAGTATCTTCGAACGAAAGTTTTCGTGGCCACTACATTTTCCTCTTAAAACCGTCTAACTCTCGTTAATACATCTTTCCCGTAGCATCGATCCAACAGGATATTAAAGTGGCCCTGGCCGTCGGCCTACCCTCTCTACTATTTCCTGTATCGAAGGGTTTATCCCACAAATAAATAAATAGTAATAATAATCGTTCGAAGTATGATGCAGTACCTCCACTCATAATTCCTAAAGAAATATTAATTATTTGACTCCACGAACTATGCAATAGTAATAGAAAATAAACAAAATGGCAAAATTGTAACATCTTGCTGTTAGAGCGAAAAATATTAGTCGATACCAAACTCGAAAGCACGAAATCCTGTTCCACGAGGTTTCTTTGCGCTCAGCCGGGTTTTAGTTTCTGGAGAAGCCTGGTATTTACCCGTTCCCGAATTCCTCGAATTCCATAACTGAAATCCGCCATGACAATCGCCACCCCCCCGGGGATAGTGTGTTTCTATTATGCCTCGTCTTACACGTCGCGACCGTCACGCCACCGACAGGATATTCTTCTCTATTTCACATCATCCACCCCTGCCGCGCCCCCCGCCTTCCGCCGCGTTCCCGCGGAAATTGCGCCCCTTTTTATCCGGCCTACGTGGGCTCCGAACATCGGCAGCGAAAAAAAAAAACCCTGGAAAATACTGCCACACCACCCTGCGGGCCTACCTTTTTCCGTCGATTCCGCACACACGGGCGCGCGTGGCCGCGTACGTGTGGGCGCATTGTTGACAAAAAAGGAGCGACGTATCCGAGGGAAGAGGAGGGGGTTGGGGGTCTGGAAAAAATTCGTCGAAAATCGCGCACGGCGCCGGGACCGTGATTCACGATTTTTTCTTTTTTCTTTTTTTTTTTTTTGTCCACGAGGGAGACCTCGACCGGCAGCGGTGTACTTTGAAAAAATCTCTCAGTGACTCGTCTGGGGAGGTTCTGGGGAGGGTTTGGGTGAGCACCGTCGAATGGTTAACCCTCTATAGCGTTTTCGTTGCTCGCCGTGAGCCGTTGGAAATGGCGAGACGACGATCGGGTCCGGAAGAAAGGACGGACGATACTTTGAAAACGAAATTCCGCCCTCCGGAGGGATCAAACATCGACGATGTCGGGACTCGTCCGGTTTTCGAACAAACGCGAAACGCTGGGAACTGGTTGGTAATAGCAGCGCCGGTCGAATAACAAGAAAATGACGCTCGATCCCGGAATTTATAGAGGCCTTGTTCGTTTCGACGAGCACTACACCCCCTCGAGTATGGTCGTTACTCCCTTGGCCACTTTGCGCGAAATTCTGTCCGAGTTATGGGGCGACTAAGTGGGCTATAGACCGTTAACGACCGCATACCAGCACCATTAACCTCTAATCCGAGCGGAAGCCACCCTTCTCGGGAAAACCCCCTCGAATCTTCTCCAAAATCTTCCCCAAAGAGAGTTTCGCGCCCTGGACCGACGCTTCTGCCTCGAGCGTCGGCGAAAGTAATCGCGAAACAGCTTTGGAAAATTCCCTCTTCTACCCACGAATCTAACGTAACTTCGAAACTCGTTCAAACTATAGAAAATTTTGACCAAAATTTCTCCAAAACGATGGTTCGCATCCTGGACCAAAACGTCTTCCCCGACCATCGATCAAGGAAATTTAACATACAAAAAGAGTTCGATCGAGTGGAAAAGATCGACGGAATCTACGGGAGGATTCAGTCACCTCGCGAGCGAGAGGGAGGGTAGAGTGAGGGTAGAGGGAGGGAGGGAGGGAGAAGCTGCGAGGCTCTCTCAGCAGCCTCTGAGGCCGTGAGCATTGTTCCCCGTCTATTAATACACCGGGTTGCATACTAATCTCCTGCTACGGTGACGCGAAGGGGAGCACGGGGCAGGGGGAGGGTCGGCAAAAGGAGGGGGAGGAGGAAGAGGAGGCGAAGGAGGAGGGGTTCTGAGTGCAGATGCATACGTCGAGGCTCGCGCCGCTTCTCGATACGCGCTCCCCTGCCCTATTATTCCATATAGTGGCGATGCACGCGTGCCACGCTGTTCGTTTCGCCAGAGATCGGCTTAAAATCTGATTCGTCCTCCTCTGTCCACGAAACGTCCAAACGTAGAAACAATAATGCTACTAGAATCGGTCCAAACAACCAGATTTATTTTCATCCAACGCTTTGACGGCCGCTGTCACGTGTACGTGATTTCATTTTTCGAGCTTGTCACGAGTACCATTTGTTACGGTATCTCTCGTTTTCTAATTCCTCGTAACAGTGTCGATCGTTCGTCGGGTCCTTGATAACGAAAGAGGAGTGAAGTGGTCTCGGGCACGTCGAAAGGATAACTGTCAAGTGGAAGCCGTGATTCGCATTCCGGCTCTAAAAATACGCCGGCGTTCGTTTACCGTCGACATTCCTCGCGATAAACCGCTATCGATACACCCCGAGCGAACCGACGTGTTCTCGATAACGAAATCCACCCCGTGTTTACGGAAAAAAAAAATAAAAAAAATAAACGATTCGCCGGTTACCGGCGGTGAGCGAGTTGCTTTCATATTATCGTCGCGAGCGTCTATCCTGGGCATCATCCTCACCGAATAATTCCTATCATTGAAAGGATGCTTTCAAAAGGTTTTCCAGATATCGATTTATTGATTACCTTTCGAAAGCATCCGTGAAACGCGTTCGAACAAACGAACGTTCTCCGTTCATGCGTCGGATTAGAGAGACTGGAGACTTTCGATATCCTAAAACTCGGTCGATTCGTCCATGCAGGAAGCAACACGACGGCTTGTAAACGAGTGAGAAAAAAAGAGATCGTCGTACCTTTTGAAAGCATCCAGAGCTCCTTGGAGCTGAAGACACCCGTCGCAAGGATCGTGTCATTGCAGACAACACCGTTATATAGTTCGTGGTAGCCTGTACCTGGGAACAGAACCCAGTCGACGACGTTTTATTCGTGTTGAAACTTCCCGTCGTCTTTCAAAACTTCCGAGCATTTACAAATTTCACCGGGACGTTTTGTTCGAGATATCACGAGCAACGGATTTGTTAGTACTGTTCAAGAATACTCGCGTCGATATCCTTCGGGGGCAACTCTACTTTATTACAACGGATCGGTTAGCAAGAGTCGAAACAATTCCTTTACCTTTTCGCCGCCTTTCCTCCTCCTTGCTCGCGTTGCAGATGCCGTTTAGGACCTCTGTAACAGTAAACGATGACACACAAATTAGACAATCGAACGACATCCAGCAGCCATATTGTGCTGTTTCGGGGAAATTTCGCTAAATTCCCATCTTCCCCGACCAAACTTTCTCGTTTAGTATCTGTTAGTAGATAACGTTTTCAAGATTTCCTACTTCGCCCAAAAATCCGGCGATGGTAAAAATTGGCCAATTCTGTAAAAGACTTTCATCGACCAACTTCTACCATTCTTACTCCGAGCGAAAGCTTTCTATCGTTTTCCAAACAGATTCTTTCTTTCCCCAGTTCCGATTAAAAATTCCCGAGCAAAAGTCTGTCGACTCTTTTGTTATTTAATCGCATACGCATCAGAGAAATTGTTTCGACGGACGCGGAGGGAGTCGGGTGGTTTAGAAATTCTGTGATTCCCCGGAGCTAGCAGGACCCCGGGAGTCGGGTCGAATTTGGAAACCGGTATCCTCGTCGCATCCCATCTCACCTTCGCTGTCACACGGTGTTTTATATCGCGGGATCTTACGCAAATCTCATTACGCAACATACCACCGAAATACACGAGAGCCCGGAACGTGTGTTCGAGTTCCTCGAGGGATGGCCACCGGGGGCGGAGGGGCACGGGGATCGATTTATTCGACGCGGATGGAAATTCGGAAAAACGTTTCGCAATCGTCCTCGTCGTCGTCCGCGATTCTGTTTGTTAAACAACAGCCGGGAATCTCGCCGCAAAAACGAATCGGCCCCTATAAATAGACGTTAACAAACACGCCGTTCACTACGGAGTTATTTTTAATTGCGACTCCAACTTATATAGCCGTTTATATCCACCGACGTCGAAACGATAACCGATTCGCGACGCGTTCGCGAGGAACGATTTTTCTATCACGTTGCAATCAACCCCCATAAAACGTTCGTAGCTCGACTTTGTTTTGATTTTAATTTAAGAAAGAGCTTTTCGAATTGTGTTCCTCGATTGCTTGAAAAATTGATCCGGTAACGACGAGCGAACGCTAAAAATGATACTTTAATAATACCTCAGGGCATACAGAACCTACCCTAATGCCTCATTAAGATTTTATGCGACGTAAGTAGCCAAAATGCGAGGATCGTGTGGCATACTGGCTTCAGCCAGTGAATTTTTACGACGCAATTGCCAGGGAAAGATCGACGCCGCGACGGTAGCATTCGCGCGACGAAATTGGTTTCCCCAAAACGTAATTGCGACATCGTCGCAACGGGTTCGCTGGGAGTACCAGCAAAATTAGTCTGCCGGTGGTCGACAGGTGCGTGCGCGACGCAGAAATTTTAGGAGCCCGATAGATACACACGGTCTTGGAACAATAATAGAGAACGAAGATCTGTTGACACTATGCGATCCATGGACGCGAGCGCGATTTTGCTGCACGAGGATTCCGTTCAAGGACACCGCGGCCATTTTACGACCATCTTCCGAACGTTTCCCGTTTCCTGGTATCCCCATCTAACCTAAATATTTGATACAGTTCCGCGATCGCGACTAACAACATTTCCACCACGCTTCTTTATAGCTCTCGAGCACAGATGTCCGCCAACAGAATTCATATTACAACGAGTTTACTTAAGTTTTTACTGGGAGCTGTCGTATTACTTCTTTTTTATAGATCTGGAATTTTTAATCATAGTAAATATCTATTGACAACCGTTGACTGCAATAAATATTGGAAATAATAAGTTTAATCGTTACCAGTGTTATTAATTGGAGAAATATTATGCCGAAAGAGGCATCGCGAAGTATTTTGGTTGGTTTTAAATAGAAAATTCATCGGCGTCCCGGGGACGGGGGAGAGGTTTTTCATTTCGCGGTGTCCAATGGCGGCGTTTTTGCGCCGCCGTGGGCGAAGATGGAGAAGGGTGGCAGGATTAATCACAGATTGGAGAATATTCGTTTCAGGTATTCGCGACGGCACCGATGTAAAATCAAAGATATAAGCGAGCGAGCACGGTGTCCGAAAGAGAGAGAGTTCGTTACAAGATGTCCGTCGCCTATTTATTTATAGAGCGAGCACACATCGGCACGCATGGTCACATGCTCGCCTGCACGCCACACAGACGAGGACGCGAGCGTGTCCGTCACGCGTAAATCCCACTCAGGCGAGTACAAAACACCCTGCACGCGAAAAATCCTAATCGAGCCTGCAACCTCGATTCCAACAAACATCGATGAAACTGTGGTACAAGCGTCATTTATTGCCCATCGATCATAAAAAAGTTACAACCAGTGGTGGAATTTCAAGCATTTAAAATCAAGTCGAATTTATATACATACATATATCGTAAATTTTTCTGCGAAAAAAAAAATTTCAAATCATTCTGAAAAAAATATTTTTGGCTGCGGAGGTCAATTACAATCATTTTTGGTCAACAGACATATTCCCGAAATCCTACGCGCTTTCGAGAAAAAAATTCGAATAGGTAGACAAATTTTTCGACGAAATTAAAATATTTCAAATCATACTGGAAAAAATATTTTTGGCAGCGGAGATCAATTACAATCATTTTTGGTCGATAGACATACCCCCGAAATCCTACTCAGTTTCGAGAAAAAAATTCCTTATCGAAAATATAATTTCAGGCCAGACATATCACTCTAAAATTTCGTGCGCATCTTTAAAACGTCATGACTACTGAACAGATTGAGGGATTTTAATGTTTAAAAAAGCAAACGCCGCGTATTTTGGTCAAGAATATGTAGGAATTCTAACAATAACGAAAAAGTTGTTTCTTGATCCCGTTAAATGAGAAAAACCACGTAAAAATGGTCCAATTTTCAGATAGCCATAACTCCTGCAATAGTGAATATATTCCAATGAAACTTTTTTCTGAAGTAGGGCCCATGGGTACTTACAAAAAAGTATTAAACAGTTTTTCTATAGGGCGTCAAACAACATTACTAAAAATCAAAAACGAATTTTTAAGAAAAATATTCAGCGAAAGAAAAAAGATTTCATATCCTTTTGAAAAAATTATTCGCTGTTTTGGGGGTTAATTACAATCATTTTTGGTCAATAGACATACCCTCGAAATTCTAACCACTTTCGAGAAAAAAATTCGAGTACGTGACTTTGTCGACGAAACAAAAAAATTTGAAATCATTCTAAAAAAATTATTTTTAGTTATGGGAGTCAATTACAATTATTTTTGGTGAATAGACATACCCCCAAATTCCTACGCACTTTCGAGAAAAAAATTCTTTACCGAAAATACAATGTCTGACCATAAACGAAATTTCGTGCCTAATCCCCTTAAATGTCATACGTATGTTCAAAAAATCATAACTCCTGAACGGATTGCACGATTTTAATGTTTCAAGATGCAAACAACGCCTATTTTAGTCAAGAATACGTAGAAATTCCAAGAATATTCGAAAAGTCGTTTCTTAACACCGTAAAGTTAAAAAAAACCCATAAAAGTGGCCCAATTTTCAAACAGCCATAACTTCTATAATAGTCAATGGATTTAATTGAAATTTAGTGGTGAAGTAGAGCTCATGGATATCTACAAAGAAGTATTAGACAACATTTGACTGTTAACAGCGCACAACAGCTTAAAAAACTGGTAGCGTAGCAATTGCCCCTAAACAAAGGAGGATTATGTCTCCTAACCTTATAAAGTATAAACAAAGTATCGAAAGAGTGTAAACCTTTTCAATCTCGAAGAATGGTCTTACACTAATAATCTGCCATAACACATCAATTGCAACGGGAGAAAGAGACCAAATAGCTTCCTATGTTACGGATTTGCAGAAATTTAGTTTGCAATCTGATGGATCACCGCCCCCAAACAGTATCGCGCTGGTTTGGTCTATCGAAACTAACCGAATCACTGTTCTTAGTGATCGGATCGTGAAATCGGATTGTTTATCCGGTCGATAGTGTTCGCGAGAGCGAGAATCGACGTTAAAGCGACGAGTGGCGAGCGTTGCGCGTTCGCCCTAAGAGCTAAATATCGCCCGGCCCGGTTGCGTAAGTATCATCGTTTCTTATGAAAGTGTTAGAGGAGAGGACAGGTGTCGTTCTCGGACATCGCATTTTCGCGATGCCACCGGCAGCTCCGTTTTAGACTCCGGTAATCCGGAATATACCCGGAGATCTCTCCTTTCGCCTCTGTCCAGCTATGCCACCGGTGAATCAACGCCACGTGGCTCTGCTCCTCGGCTTATGCGTTTAGGGTGAAAGACCCAATTACTTGGGTTAAAATTTAATTTTCTTCTTTTTTTCTGTTTCATATACTTTACAATTAATCTCTACGTTACTCTAATCTTATATTTTATAAATTTCGTTAAACAAACAAACATTTATACTTCTCCTTTGAAGTCCTAGAATTATTGATCCGCCCTGATAGATGACAACTTCGCAAGTTTGGTAAAGGTTAGATGACTGAATTTAAAATGTAACTAGTATTTAAATTGGCAACCTATCGATCTCATTCGTTTCAACTTTAAATCCAGACGTTCAAGGAGTATAGGACATTTAAGATGATGAATATATTATGGAATGAAATATTGATTCCTTTTACGAATATACAGAGTATCGGCGAAATTTCAGCAGGAATGTATCGAGGAGCCGAAATATTAGAGATCGGTGGTCCCCCGTCCCGGTGTACTTCCCTTCTATAATAATACCGTCTATTAGGTCAGTCGAAACGAACGAACGGAGGCGAGTGTCTACTTTTAGCATACGCGTCGACGGGGCAGATAATCCGAAAGGGTCCGAAGTAGCCGAAGCCTTCGCTATCCGGCACGCCTTGGCAGCCACCGAGTTTATATTATTGTGGTGCCGGCGTGTATATTTACAGAGAGCCAGGAATTTTTATGATGTTGATCGTTCGTCGCCGCGCACGACCGCCAGATTTCTTCTTTCGTCGGCTTTGTGAATTAATCGGCCACGTGCTAGCTCGAACACGCTACCGGACGACAACAACCCACTCGGGAGCTCCATCGACCGTAATTAGGACTCGGAAAATCGCTCTTCGACCCTCTGCTCCCCTTCTCGATCAAATACAACCGCAGGACAATCTTCAGTAAACGCGAAATTGTAACTCGGTTGTTGCAAAAGATAGTCGTACCTTGGTCAGATTCTATGAAGCGACTCCATTCATCTAAAGTGGGCTTATTATTAAAAATAATGTCTTGAGAAGAGGGTGGTCATTTTGTGAATACACAATGTGTATTTATTATTGTTTTCGTGAGTGGAGTCCCGTCTGTAAAGTGGGCCCCATCGAGAATAAATAGTGTCTGTTGGATGGTGCGAGACCAAAAACGCGAGGAGAGTGGAAGGAAAGACGGACCATCTGGAGAGTGCCTAACCTACCCCATCGCGTCTTGGCAGCCGCGCGTTTTTTCTCTTTCTCGTAGGTAGCGTGGCGTAGGCCTCGCCAATTTTTGCGTCAACCGGCTGTAAACATTGTAAAGCCGGCTGCCAAGGAGTATCACGGGCCCGTGGCCCGTGGCCCACGAGCCAGCGGTCTTCCGCGCGGCCACCCGGGCTGCCAGGACGCAAAGCACGGAAATTACGTGTTTCGCGACTGAGTCAGTGGAGTTCGATGAAACCCGAATGAAAGAGCCGCGAGAGGCTGCCAGTCGCGAGTTTTCTGGCAGCTGATCGATCGAGCCGTCGATGACCGGACGTCGGGGACTTCCTCTCTTCCCTTACGCGATACGCTTATTGCGAAACGGGCTAACAACCTTTACTTGCAAACCGAAACCATGTATATTCCTTCTTATATAATTAAATCTTATCGATTCTTTGAAAAACTCCACGTTTGCATAGGTGAAATAGATCTCCCTAATATAGAGGCTGTGGATCTTTATGCAAATTTATATTTTGATTAATAAAATTAATGAAATGGGAGCTTTGTAGAGGATTGTCTCAACCCCTATCACTTATATTTTTGCATATTAAGTGCATTCTATAATTTTTTGAAAACTAAAATTTCACATAATATATCTGTTCCAGCTGTATAACACTGATACTCAATTTACAGTCTATCGGTTTCCTTGCATCAGTTATTCTACGATTCGGTGCAAGTCCCTGATAAACTTCATAGTTAAATTGAAAGAAACCCCGAGATCTCAGAGCTCTAGACCGATTACTTTGCCAGAATTTCCGGGGCACGTCAGAGCTAGTAGAGATCGATTTAAAAGAATTATTACCGTCGCCGGGAGTCTCGTTGTATGTTTCGAGGCTTACCAGCGCGTTTGCGACGGCGAAAACAAAGTCTGACGAGAGGAGTCGGGCGAGAATCCGATCTAGAATCGGCTCGAGTTAAATTCACCGGCTCATGGAACGCGAAACGATCGAATATCTTGGACGGTGGACAAGATCGACTATTCTTGAAGCCGATCCTTGGAGCGTTCGCGAAGGTCTAGGAATCGCAGCCGCGATCGTTATAGATCAGCCGCGTGAAACGGTCGTCGAGGTAGGGGTCTTTGTACCCCGGACGGTGAAACGAGCCAGCGAAGAATGGAACGCGCGGGTGCCAGTCCCGCGCCATGAACACCAGCCCCGTTGTATGGGGGCCGGTGAAATTGGCAGAGCGTTCCAAGAAACTTTGAATCGAAGCCGAGTGGAGTGGACACTTTGAATGGACGGATTCGCGAGTGAATGAACGCGCGCGGCGTAGACGGAACCGAGACCACGACCTGCTTGGGAATACCCGATCGGCCTCAACAGCTGTCCGGGGGAATCACTCCCGATCAAACGGACTGGATAACATCTTTCCATCGATTTAATTATTCAACCACATCGTTCGTTATGTACTTCTACAGAAAATAGACAAAGCGTTGTCGGATTTAAAATGAAATAGTTCGAGATAAAGGTTACATCTAGAAACTTTGAGATCGTTGTTTCTAATCCCGTTTTTCAAATATCACTATTCACGATTCTATATGCGTGACGTTGATACGTGGAGTTAAGAAATCTTAGAATACTAAACGCCTTAAAGCCCCCATACTGCACGCGATCGGTACAAGTTCGCGTCACTATACTCTGTATATTCGAATAATCGACGACCAAAGGCGTGTTCCAGTACGTTTTCACCGTTCAATAGGGTGTCTACAAGTTTGTTTTCGTAGTCCCGTCCCCGAGTGTTTCAACAGAGAGACAGAGGAGGGTGGCTAAGCAAACTCGCGGCCACGAAATTTCTGGTCGAAAGTTCCGTGTAACCCGGGAGCATCCGTGCCTTTAATCGAGCGGATTATCTTGGTTATCTCTTACCGTGGCTGGTGATAAAATTGGCGAGGTAGAGATCGAGTTCCCGGACGGAGACGTTGATGTGATAGGGGTTGACGCAGAGGCCCGGCTGAGCGCATTCCGCAGTCTTCTCCAGCCGTTCCCCGTCCGTCGACTCCAACGGAATTGCCTTGAAGAGGATCACCATTACCAGGTCCAGCCTCCATACCTGCGACACAACGGAACCGCCGTTCGTTTATTGGCTGCGACCTCCGGGGGGCTCTATCGGACCCTGCGAGACCTCAATTTCCGACTTTCCGTAAGATAACTTCGCGGTGGACGTTTGCCGACTGATTCGGGAAGTCTGAATTTATCGAATAACCTTGAAAACTCTCTACGAATTTGAATCAAATAGGACAGTCATGTTTCCCAATTGAAAAGTTAATTAGCATTCGTGTATGCGAATTTTATTATTTAAATTCATTTATATTAAGAGGAAAAAACTGGGTAGGAGTCTCTCACTTTACCATCACACCATAGTGGTAATTGACAGTTGATAGATTAAAATTATATTTTTAGATCACAATGAAACTTTTTGAGTTTTTAATTATTGAGTATCTATCGTTATAATGTTATAAATGAGGAAAGTTTCAACAAAATTAATGACCCGAAGGCCTTGGGCTTTCCTTTCTAATATTTTGACGATTTCTAATAAATCTATCGTGGTATTTGACTTAATTAAGAGCTTGTCGAGAGGTCGTGAGAGCGAAAGAGAATCTTAGAGTTCGAGCAAGTAGATCGAGAAGGCCGATGGTCGGACGTACCTTGTCTGCTTGACGCAGGCAATCGATCCGACGCATTTTACCCTTCTGATCAGGATTACTGAGGACACACATGGCTGGCCTCTTCCCCGTGATACTCAGTACAAAGTCCTCTCTGTACTCCTGCGTGATATCTTTCCGTAATTTTCCTAGAAGCCGCGAGGCCCATTTCTGTTTCACCTCCAGCTTCTCGTTCTGCAACACAAAACCATTCGTTTCCGGTCAATCTCGATTCGCCCTGACAGCAACATTTCTTCACATTGGTTGTAAATAAAATGTACTATATAAACCAGCGAAGGGTACACTGCGACACGTTAATTTTTAACGTAATTGATACAATTCTTATTATATTAGGGATTATTTGTATGGCCTGTTATAAGTCTTGCAACAGTGACTCTGTTATCTATTCGCATGATTATAGTGTGAGAAATAGAAATATTCCATGGTCCAATGATTTGGCGACATTGTGAATCTTTTCAGCAATCGGTTCGTAAGAAGTTAATATCGAGGATCGAGTCGAAGAGCAAAGGCAAAGATTCAAAGATGGCGGGTACGGAGGAGAAGAGTCGTTCGTGTCCCGACTACAGGAGGAATCGTAAACGTAACAGAAAGCATATTCCAAAGTTTCGCGTATCGATGTCCCGCGGCAGCTGTTGATCCCCCGGAAAGTTCGCGGAGTTTAGGAAACTCCGTGGATGGCTCGGGACCAAAGCAACGGCCGATCTCGAACCGTTCGCCGAAACGATATGCGAGATCACGTCCCCGCGTCGTGTCTCTGCTACTCTACGCGACTCTTCTCCCCGATATCTTGACCTTACTCGCGTTCTACGTGTTTCGCTGGCGTTTTTAATCAGCCAGCGACTGCATCGTCGATGCTGAGCGACGGAAGTGGGGCGACCTGCTTTCCAAATTTACCATATCGCGACAGAATAGATCACGCATCGCGTACACTCGACGCACAATGCGAATTTTAAACTAACTGGACGAACGCCTTTTTCCTTAACCCCTTCGATTTCGATACTTTGGTTTCAACCGAGAGTTTTATATTTGCGAATCTTATCGTTGAACGTTGAACTTTGAGAATTATTAAGCATCGAGCAGGTGTAGCTTGAGATTAAAAGTGGGAACTGGGTGTTTTATAATATGTCAAAAGCAAAAAATTGTACCCGTGAAATTTGACACATGGAAAGAGCCAAACGGAAAGGAACCTAATGGAGCGAGATATGGACTATAAGGCAGATGCGGCGGAACCTCCCAGAGTAATTTTTCAATCCCGAAGGGAAATACTCCTTTCCTCGGTAAATCGTGTCGTTTCCTCGATATCCTCGCTTTAACTTCAAGTATATCTCCGAAGTGAACCGACTATCGATTGTTTCTTCAAAAAATTACAGAAAATCGAGCCTGTTGCTTTGACGCTAGATCGATTGGGCATCTTTCTATCGAATACCAATACTAATTCTGCTTTAAAAGTCGATTTTTTATTCCAACAAATTGCAATTTACCTTCGTAAATAGTGCTCGACCATCTTCGAAATATTTTATCGAATTCGGTAGCAGCTTTCTCCTACACGTTACCCAAGTATTTTTACATTGGCGTCGTACGAACAAATGTCTTCGACTGGCCCCGAAAATGAGAATCCAACATATTGAAACCCGTGAAACGAGCGGGTTGGACAATAGTCCCGGCGGGGCCTATCCATCTGCGAGAAAATCGTTCGTTCAAGAACTGTCCGGTTGACTGAAACGGGACACTGTACCGTCGTGCATAAATCACGCGCGACACACCATAATCTCCTGCAACTTCTTCCAATAATCCGCGCAACTGATTATTCAAGAGACTGACGTAACACTGACTCGATAATCTCTTGTTAAGCAAAACAACAACTTATCGAACATTCTATGCAAATAGTGTAATCACTGACTCCAGCAATTATAAACTAAAATTGGAAATTCAGGGAAATTCGAGCAGAGTACACGTGTTTATACAAACATTTCGTCAAGAATCACCGTCTTACACAAATTGAAATTGACACAGCAGACTTGCCAAAGAAATCACACACATTTTCGTGGTTTCTTAAATCTTATTTTCTTTACGAAGCTTGTTAACACTTTGACGGCCGCGAGTTTGCGAGCTAGCAGACGTCGGCCACTATCACGTGCGCGTGATCTACTGTATCAGTTACCATTTCATCGTACATTCAACTTATTACGTTTGTTGATTTTGTTGTTGTTTTCGCGTGATACGTGATCGCGTGATTTTCACTAAAATTGCAAGCTCAACGAAACAGATTTCGATCGTAAATAATAATTGTCAGTGGATTACGAATTCAAAAAGTCACTGACCTGGTGATTTAAAATACTTTGTCAACAAAGGAGTGGTGGAACTGTTCTCTATTTTCGAGGCGGGAGAAAAGGACGTCCCTTTAATATATCATGCGCGCATATGTTAGTGTCAAGTTGGAAAGGGTTAAATACCAATGCGAGCGACGAGGCTCGACCATTCGTTTTTCTGTAGGCGTGGAAATCCCGCGAACTCGGTCGAACCCAGCCAGAGGGCATCGACGACGACGACGACGACGACGACGACGACGGCGACGACGAAGACGACGACGGCGACGACGACGACCTCGGTGGAGCGCATCCACGTCGGTTATGCAGCGCACGGCCGCGGCCCTCGTCACCCGTGGAATAGCAAATGCACGGGTGCATAAGGTCCCTGAGAAATGCATTGAAAGCGCGCGGAATGCATCGAGCGACGACGCGAGGCGACGCGGCAGCGGCCGATCTATCCCGCCTAGCCCCTTTCTGCCACGCACGTGCGAGCCGCGAAACTTTGTGCAACGGAGAAAAGGAGGAGGCGCGTTTCTGCACGCTTCTGAACGCTTCTGAACGCTTCTGCACGCTTCTGCACGCCGAGCGACGAGCGACACGCGCGCGCGAATCGTCGCGATTCTCGGAGACCGAGGTGCGTGAACGAGGTGCCCGATTTCTTACGACCGGGACTGCCTTCCACGGATCAATTTACATTTTTCTCACGTTCATTTCCATATCCATCCATTTATCTATTCTTATCAATCGCGAACCGAACGACTCGTCCGTTGGTAAGCTAGACCGATCAAGATCGCAAACGCTTTAACTTTAAAATAAGATTACATGAAAACTATTGCGCTTACGCGACAGTGCTTTATGTTACCTACTTATTTGGTATTATTGAATTACGGCTATTTTGTTACACGTTTACGAATATCTGAATTATTAAATAGAAATGACAAGCGGAGATAGCACATCATGGAGACGATAGTAACGCGAATTTAATTTTAGAAAATTAAGATATTTATTAGAAGAAACTATAATGAACAAAGACGAAATTAATGTTTTGATAGGAAGGTGAAATTTTTATTATGCATTCCTCGTGTACCCAATCCTGACGTTTTTCGTTAGGTTTACTTGTGATTAAACATTAAATTAAACATTACCGTTACTGCATTTATTTAACCCAAATTACATCGGCATATTTAAGATCGGAACAAGCCAACGTATCGAGTTAAAGAAAATTTATCATCGCAGGTTACGCCTAGATCGCAAATAAAGTCAATAGATTCTAATAGCGTAATACCGAGTGTGTGAATGTATATGGAAGTGTGTCGGCAACGAGAGATCACCATTGTATGGCATTTGGAAATATTATGGTCCAGTCAATCGTTTATACGGCGTGTCACGAGTTTATCGAGATCAGTTTCGAGCACATTAGCTTGCACGGTATGATTATTTGCCCCGGAGTCGCTCGCAAGTATCGCTATGGACGCGTGTCTCCAAGAATAGTTGTATCCGCTCTTCCTTTCAGCCCGATCTGTGGAACGAAGCTTGCCCATAGCAAGCCCGTTAATAGAATCTGGGATTTAATAAATAGCCTCACAACGTTCACTCGTTTCCATTTAACCGGCTTCGTTTCGATCAGCATCTTCGCTGCGTCAAAATTAGAAAAATGGAGACAAATTCAAACAACCTGATCTGTAAACCAGCCAAGGGTACACTATGGCACGTTAATTTTTAACGTAATTAATACAATTCTTATTATAGTGGGTATCATTTGTATGGCCTATTATAATTCTTGCAATAGTGACTCTGTTATCTATTCACACATTGACTGCTACGTGAGTTTCTCGTATCTAATTATAGTTGAATGGTTTGTCACGCGTATTCAGTACCTCCCACTGTAAACAATTTAGCGTAAGTTTGACGGTCACCAGTGACCACCATGGCAACCAATGTTTTAAAAAGTGAACATTGGGTCTAAATTGACCCGGAAGTTGGCTGTTCGAGGGTTAACAGATTTGGTGAGCGGAATGGAGTAATAAAGAAAGAGAGATGGGTACCGAGAAAGGTGGAAGAGTCGCGTCGCGACGTTTCCCGGTGCACGGGCCTCGCGTACTTGCGATGTAACGCGTGGCGTCCGCGCGCATTTTTCGCGCACGTGCAAAATTTCAAGCACGTATGTACCACTCTCTCACGGACAAGAAATGTCAGGCAAGACGGCCGCGGTCGACCCAACTGTGGGAGAGACCCGGTGCAGTTACACCCGGTGCATCCTGCATAAACCCGATCAAGTATGCCGAGTGTGAAGGAGGGCCGCGAGTGCACCGGCCACGTATGTATATCGTGACATGCGTATGTACACCTAGGCGCGGCAGTTTACCTCGTTCACGCCGACGATTTCTCGCGATGCTATTCGCGCAGAGCCTACGTGATCCCCGATCCGCGTCGATCTACGATCTTCTGATCGATCCTTTCGAAAATCACCACCGAACGCAAAAAAAAAACATTCGAATGAGATCAACTTGCTCTTCTCCGTTTCTGTTTATTTCAAATACGAGCGATCGGGAGCGGTCAGAGATTTTCAACCGTTTTATTTATTCGATAAACGAGAGGCCCCATTAGCGTACAAAGTAGTAGAACACGATAATCGAAATAAGGTGGTACAAGAAAGTTTAACTAGTATTTTATTACCACCATGTGGGACTCGATCTCATTCTTTTATCTAATTTTGTAATATTCGAATTCGATGCTTTGGTTCTCTCAGGTGTTCAATTTTTAGTTCAAAGATTGAAAAGGGCAGTGTGAAACCTTTATTTGGTGATTTTATCTACCAAACGAATAAAAATGAAATTGTCAGTTCGCAAGATTTCCACTTTCTAA